AAGGACCCAGCTAAACTCTGCCCAGCTGTGAGATATGTGTTGTTTTGAGCCATTATGCTTGTGATATTTTGTTATACAACAAAAAAACTAACATAAATACCTATGATAAAGCTTTTTTATTTTTTAATCAGTATCACTCAGAATGTTATCAATAAAGACTGTAGGCCAGGCATTGTAGCTCAAGCCTGTAATCCCAGCACTTTGGGAGGCCAAAGCAGGGGGATTACTTGAAGCCAGGAATTCAAGATCAGCCTAGGCAACATGGCAAGACCCCTATCTCTATAAAAATAGGCCAGGCACAGTGGCTCACACCTGTAATCCCAACACTTTGGGAGGCTGAGGTGGACAGATAGCTTGACCGCAGGAGTTTGACGAGACCAGCATAAGCAACATGGTGAAACCCCGTCTCTACAAAATATACAAAAATTAGCTGGGTGTGGTGGCGCATGCCTATAGTTCCAGCTACTCAGGAGGCTGAGGTGGGAGGATCACCTGAGCCCAAGAGGCAGAGGTTGCAGTGAGCCATGATTGCACCACTGCACTCCATCCATGGGACAGAGGAAGATCTTGTCTCTTTAAATTAAAAAAAAAAAAGTCTGGATGCAGTGGCTCACACCTGTAATCCCAGCACTTTGGGAGGCTGAGGCGGGCAGACCACTTGAGCTCAGGAGTTCGAGACAAGCCTGACCAACACAGAGAAACCCTGTCTCTACTAAAAATACAAGTGGTACATGCCTATAATCCCAGCTGTTCGGGAGGCTGAGGCAGGAGAATCACTCGAACCAGGATGTAGAGGTTGCAGTGAGCTGAGATCGCGCCATTGCACTCCATCCTGAGCAACAAGGGCAAAACTCCATCTCAAAAAAAAAAGAAAAAAAATTTAAAAAATTTTCCAGCCTAGGCAAGAAATGCCATCTCCACTAAAATATACCAAAAAAATTAGACGGGCATGGTGGCACATGTCTACAGTCCCAGCTACTCAGGTGGCTGAAGTGGGAGAATCACTTAAGCCTGGGAGGCAGAGGCTGCAGTGAGATCAGGCCACTGCACTCCTGCTGGGGCAGAGTGAGACTGTGTCACAAGGTACATAGAGAAATAATTTTTTTAAAACTTTAAGTTTTATTTTCTTTTTAAAATTTTTTGTGGGTGTACAGTAGGTATATATGTTTATGGAATACATGAGATGTTTTGCTACAGGCATGCAAAGTAAAATAAGCAAATCACGGAGAATGGGGTATCTACCCCCTCAAGCATTTACCCTTTGACTTATGGGGTATCTATCCCCTCAGGCATTTATCCTCAGAGTTACAAATAATCCAATTATATTCTGAGTTATTTTAAGATGTACAATTAAATTATTATTAAACATAGTCACCAGTCACCCTGTTGTGCTATCAAATAGTAAGTCTTATTCATTCTATTTATTTGGTACCCATTAGCCATCCCTACCTCCCCTCGTTTTCTTAATACTTACAAAAGGTAAAATACACCTTTTTATACGGCCAAACTGTGCAAAGTGTTCTCTCAACTGACCTGTGTGGCAGAAGAAAACATATTAATAGTTACTATCTTTTGGATTCTCTATCTTAAATTGTAGATAGAAACTAAAAGTGGTCCCAGGGTCACCAGACTTTTTGTGGACAGGAACTACTTTGCATTTCCTTAAAGGTTTGAGATTTGGGCCCAGTGCGGTGGCTCACGCCTTTAATCCCAGCACTTTGGGAGGCCGAGGCGGGTGGATCACAAGGTCAAGAGATCAAGACCATCATGGCCAACAAGGTGAAACCCCATCTCTAATAAATATACAAAAATTAGCTGGGCATGGTGGCGTGCGCCTGTAGTCCCAGCTACTCAGGAGGCTGACGCAGGAGAATTGCTTGAACCCAGGAGGCGGAGGTTGCAGTGAGCCGAGATCGTGTCACTGCACTCCAGCCTGGGTAACAAGAGCGAAACTCCGTCTTAAAAAAAAAAAAAAAAGGGTTTGAGATTTAGGAAGCTGCTATGGTACTGGCTATAAAGCCATAATGTACCAGGTTTGATAGGAGGTGAGGAGGGGAGATGGACTGACAAGTCGCTGAGGTGGCTACAGTCTCCATCCTCAGCAAATATTGAGTGTTTTCATCCTATTAGTTACTGTGCTATGTGGACTATGATCCCTGTGAGCAGATCACAAAGAAGAAAAAGACAAATTACAATCCAGTGTGTTTCCAGCTATACTGAAGGTTTCCAAATAAAATCCTAATTTACTGTTCTTTCATTCTTTCACAATTTGTTAAGTACTGTTCTTTCATTCTTTAACAATTTGTTAAGTTGACCTCACCTACCCTTCCTGCCTTATTTCCCCCTGCTGGCCCCTAGTTACTCTCTAGTACAACAAACTGAATCATCACTATCTGTCCTGTGGATTCCCATCTTTGCATATGTTGTTCTTTCCCCTCAGTATGTTGGTAATCCTATCTCCCCCAACTATCCTTCAAAACCTAAACCAAATACATCCACTGAGTATTATTTTATTGGGCTCCTACTGTAATACAAGACAATGTACTAGCCCTGTGAAACTTCAAAGATTAGAGTATATGATCTTAAAAACTAAAAACTACATGATCTGTTTCTCTTCTGAACTACAGTGCTTGTACTTCACTGATTTACTTTGTATAATACCTGTTTAGTTCTCCTAGTTCACCAAAACCTCACTGGTTCAACAAATGCCTAAATTTATTGTAAGTCTCTTCATCCCCACTACTATACTGTAAGCTCCCTCAGCATATAAACCACTATGTTTACAGTGACCAATGAACAGTAGAACCTCAGTATTGGCTAATGAATAAGCAAATGTCCACTAATCCTTCAACAATCAACAGAGACTAAGTTTTGAAGGGCTCTAACGGTAAGTCAAACCAACTGGCAAGATCAAGATCTCACAGAATATGATACTGGAGAACAAAATAATGTTAAACATATGTTTTATACCAGACAATTAAAGTCCTAGAAGACACTGATTTCAAAACAAACCATCTCTGGAAGGTAACCGACTTTCCAACCTGCCTAAAACTGAAGGAGAAACAGCTGCAAGCACCAAGAACAATGTCTACCACATAATAGATACTCAAATAAATATTTGCTGAATCAATGGAACAACGGAGAGAAATTTTTTTGAAGTTGTACATAATGCCGACTCTTTTTGAGGGTTTTAAACTAGCCCTTTATTGCCTGGAAACTTGCATCTGCAAGACGCTAATGAAACTCCTCAGCCTTTCCATGAAGTTTCACAGGGCCTATGGGAGACTACTGGGCTTGGTCTTCACCAACGACATGTTTAAAAGATGGGGCACAAACCAACCTATTTCCCATTCTACTACTCACATCTGAGCCACAAAAACTAAGAAACTAAATCCTGTTCCATTTTGTTTAAAGGGGCTGACCTGATTACATGAATATCTACAAAAAAGCGACCACAACTGTTTACATGTTGGTAAGCAAATATAAAAACCTTATTTCAGGCCGGGCGCGGTGGCTCAAGCCTGTAATCCCAGCACTTTGGGAGGCCAAGGCAGGCGGATCACAAGGTCAAGAGATCGAGACCATCCTGGTCAACACGGTGAAACCCCGTCTCTACTAAAAATACAAAATATTAGCTGGGCATGGTGGCGCGTGCCTGTAATCCCAGCTACTCGGGAGGCTGAGGCAGGAGAATTGCCTGAACCCAGGAGGCGGAGGTTGCGGTGAGCCGAGATCGCACCATTGCACTCCAGCCTGGGTAACAAGAGCGAAACTCCGTCTCAAAAAAAAAAAAAAAAAAAAAAAAAAACCTTATCTCAAAACTGCAGTTGACAAAAATCGAAGGTGATGAGAGATTTCAGAATTATTTCAATCTTTATCTCTAGACTAGGCCTCTCCCATAAGCTACAACTTTAGTTATCGTGAAAATAACTATCATTTGTTGAGTACTTAAACTACTGTATATCTAACACAAATCTAGGAAGTTTGCATATAAACTCAATCCTCTCAACAATCCTCTAAGTTGGGTATTGACTCCATTTTATCAATGAGTAAACTGTGGCCCAGTGTGAGCCCTTTTCCCATATTAATTTCAGTTATTCAGGTAATATAGCGATTAAATGTCCGAGTTGGAATTCTAACCCAACAATTTGTCTTCAGAGTCCACTTCTCAGCGACACTGATACACAACCTCTGTCCAATTGCCTGATGGAAACCTCACGAGTTTCTCAAACTCAACACATTCAAATTTATCTTCCCTTGGCCTGCTTGCTCCTCTTAACTTCTAAATAAGCTATTCACCAATGCTAAAAACCCGGTTATAATTCCTCCCTTTCCCTTATTCCGTACACTTCCCCCTACTTAAGCCATCACGAAACGGCATCTAGTTTGCTTTTGAAAGATAAATGGATCTGACCACCCTCCTACCATCGCTCAAAGTCAGGTCCTCACCTTTTAAGTACATTAATGAAATTCCCGTTTAGCACCTCCCCACGCCTACCATTTTGCCACCTTGAATCCATCCTTCACACTACAGTCAAAATTATCCCTTCTAAATTGTAAATCTGGGTTTCCAAGTAAAAAGCCTTCACACCAAATCACTCCTAAAGGCAAAAAGCCGGTAAATTCACGCCCCCAAACGCTCAAGGGACATCCGTAAAGGGTTAATTGCAAACAAAAATTCTTTCTGCTCACTTGCATACTCAGGAGCACTATCCTCACTCAGCCACCACGCTGACGTTTAAGTACCCTGCAAAAAGCATAAGCTTTGAGGATCACTTGGATCTAAAAATTCCGTAACTCCCACATCTCCATCACTCACTCGACGCCGCGGTCCAAGGAATTTTTCTCACAAAAGCAACCGACCGACTGGCAGTTCTACGCAGCGCCACAGGACCACTCGCTGCTAAAGCCGCCATCTTTAGACTAAAGGACCTTCTCTAGCTGGGGTCGCGGGCCCGGACAAAGTTTCCGGATCCGGAATATGGGAGAATCTGCTTCCGGACCAGAACAGCCCGCGAGATGGGGAAGATGGCGGCGGCCGTGGTCTCCGTGGCGACTCTGGCAACTGAGCCTGGGGAGGACGCCTTTCGGAAACTTTTCCGCTTCTACCGTCAGAGCCGGCCCGGGACCGCAGACCTGGGAGGGGTCATCGACTTCTCGGCGGACCATGCAGCCCATGGCACGGGTCCTGGTGCCCACAAGGTACATAGAGAAGAGGGGCGCGCGCCTCTCCATCGCTTCCCCTCGCTTCTTGGAGGGGCTTCCGTGTCTTCCTCGCCGCTTTTCGCCTCCAGACCGATTGTTATTGAACGATTCCTGCCCTCCTTTGGCTGCGGAGTTGAACGTCGCACTAATCATCACACTAGCAATAGTGTTGAGATCCTCGTTTCTTCAGGCTGCCATTTCCGGCAGGAGCCTCTGTCAAAAGAGCCTGGGAATCGGTGTTTATTTCTTCCTATAACTGTCTACTCACATTTCTGTTTGGGTTTTTGTAAAACCCCACAGAAAGTCTTCGTAGGTGGTAAGGAAGCGTTCTGCCCCTTGAAAAAACCACTCCCGAGGAATCCCTGAACTGACAGGGATCCAGCGCTCTTTGTTAAGCCGCTGTGCGTAAAACTAGTTCCTGTCTTCTCCTCGGGGCCTTTTAGAAGGAGGTCATTGAAGGATTCTGAGAGAATCCCTCCGTGTTGAAAATAAATGGCAAACAAGTATATGTGGAATACAGGCACCGTCCTTTCTTTTAAATTTCCCCCATGGAGATTAAGAAAGATAATACAGGCCTGGAGTGGTGGCTCATGCATGCAATCCTAGCACTTTGGGAGGCCGAGGTGTGTGGATCGCTTGAACCGAGTGGTTCGAGACCAGCCTGGGCAACAAGGCAAGACACCCCCCACCCCCATTTCCACCAAAAATAGAAAAAATTAGCCAGTCTCATAACCCGATCTCAATTATATAGATTTTTTAAAAAATTTTTAAAGGAACGTAATAGGCAAGAGGGAAAACGGGGGGAACCAAAATCGTAGTTCAATTTACATTTCCTTTCTTTACAATCCACTTTAACCTTGAGGATATGCATCCTTTTTCTCTTGCTGTTGTCCACAGATGTCTAGATGAGGCGTTCTTTCCAAGCTTCCTAACAGCTCTGATAAAATTGGGGTGTTTTAGTATTAAGTGTTAATGATTGCATACTTGAGGTCAGCTTTTCAGCACCTTCGTTTGTTAGCAAAAAAAAAAGTCATAGAGTTGTCAACATACAGATTAAAGTCCACACCCCAAGAATAATACACTTTTCTCTGGAGAGCCCTTCAGACCCTCATTCAGCTCCTTTTACCTACATTTTACCATAATATGTACACACTTTTTGGAATGTGAGCCACCAGAGAATAAGCCATTGTGTGTCTAGTACAGGTCTTAAAAAAATACTAAATAAATACAGTATGTGTTGAGTACATGAAAGCTTCGGTGTTTAGTTCCCCAGCTCAAAGTAGATTAAAGTAGTAATTAAGAGAAGTTACTTTACAAGCCAGCTGATGGGACTAGTGGAGAAAGTGGTGGTTAACAGTCTGGCAAGGGAGAAACTAGAAAACGTTTTATAAAAGCTCAGGATGTGGTTCAGTTTAGCATATAATAGAATAGGTTCACTAACATCACCTCCAAGAGTGTGTTGAGTTATAGTGCAGTATTAAATACAGCCTATTTAAGAAATCATGACAAAATGCTTGAAAGTGTTTTATTGGCCAGGCACAGTGGCTCACACCTGTAATCCCAGCACTTTGGAAGGCTGAAGCAGGCAGATCACCTGAGGTTGGGAATTCGAGACCAACCTGACCAACAAGGAGAAACCCCATCTCTACTAAAAATGCAAAATTAGCCAGGCATGGTGGCAGGCGCCTGTAATCCCACCTACTCTGGAGGCTGAGACAGGAGAATCACTTGAACCCAGGAGGCAGAGGTTGCGGTGAGCCAAGATCACCCCATTGCACTGTAGCCTGGGCAACAAGAGCAAGACTCTGTCTCAAAAAAAAAAAAAAAAAGTGTTTTATTGGACTGGGCGCGGTGTCTCACACCTGTTATCTCAGCACGTTGGGAGGCCAAGGCCGGAGGATCACCTGAGGTTGGGAGTTCAAGACCAGCCTGACCAACGTGGAGAAACCCCGTCTCTACTCAAAATATTAAGCCAGGTGTAGTGGTGCATGCCTGTAATCCCAGCTACTTGGGAGGCTGAGGCAGGAGAATCGCTTGAACCTGGGAGGCAGAGGTTGCAGTGAGCCGAGATCAGCCATTGTACTCCAGCATGGGCAACAAGCGAGATTCTCCATCTCAAAACAAACAAAAAAAAGTGTTTTGTCAGCCCCTAGGTACCTGGAAAACTCAGCTGATCAGTACTTTTAGAGGGTTTCAGATAGCCATTTTATTATTTTATTATTTATTATACATCAGCCAACTATTGATATTTTGTTTGCGAATCTCCAGACTTGGAGAAGTTGATAGGATGAAAGATCATTCTCTTTCAAAGAGAATGTTTCATATATATGTATATAATATTATATACACTCTTTTTTCCTAAGACAGCATCTCACTGTGTTGCCCAGGCTGTAATGCTGTGGCATGAGCTCAGCTCACTGCAACATCCACCTTATAGGTTTAAGCAATTCTTCTGCCGCAGCCTCCCAAGTAGCTGGGACTCTAGGCGCACGCCACCACACTTGGCTGTCTTAATGTTTTTACATCAGTGACTGTATAGTGGGTCTGGTAACCAATGTAACCAGCTATCCGTTAGATACTAATGTAAAAAGAAAACCCCCTGAAATACTAAATTCTTTTTTTTTTTTTTTTTTTGAGACGGAGTTTCGCTCTTGTTACCCAGGCTGGAGTGCAATGGCGCAATCTCGGCTCACCGCAACCTCCGCCTCCTGGGTTCAGGCAATTCTCCTGCCTCAGCCTCCTGAGTAGCTGGGATTACAGGCACGCGCCACCATGCCCAGCTAATTTTTTGTATTTTTAGTAGAGACGGGGTTTCACTATGTTGACCAGGATGGTCTCGATCTCTCGACCTCGTGATCCACCCGCCTCGGCCTCCCAAAGTGCTGGGATTACAAGCTTGAGCCACCGCGCCCGGCCTTTTTTTTTTTTTTTTTTTTTTTTTGAGACAGTTTTGCTCTTGTTACCCAGGCTAGAATGCAATGGCACGATCTCAGCACCACAACCTCTGCCTCGCAGGTTCAAGTGATTTTCCTGTCTCAGCTTCCCGAGTAGCTGAGATTACAGGCATGTACCACCATGCCCTACTAATTTTGTATTTTTAATAGAGACAGGGTTTCTCCATATTGGTCAGGCTGGTCTCGAACTCCCAACCTCAGGTCATCTGCTCACCTTGGCCTGCCAAAGTGCACGTATGAGCCACTGCACCTGGTCAATACTAAATCCATTATAATTAACAAAAGTAGAAGTTATAGCATTGGTTTGACATTTCATCTAAAAGAGGGCAAGTATTATACTTTTAGCAAACAGGATCACCAGTGTTTTATTGAAACATTTTTCTTTCTGTTTACACAGCATTCTCTTTTCATTCTCTTTTTTTTTGTTTTGAGATGGAATCTTGCCCTATCCCCAAGCTGGAGTACAGTGGTGCTATCTTGGCTCACTGCAACCTCCACCTCCCAGGCTCAAGCAATTCTGGTGCCTCAGCCTCCCGAGTAGCTGGGATTTCCCAGCTAATTTTTGTATTTTTTAGTAGAAACAGGGTTTCACATGCTGGCCATTCTGGTCTCGAACTCCTGACCTTGTGATCTGCCCCCCTCAGCCTCCCGAACTGCTGGGTTTACAGGCATGAGCCACTGTGACGCCAGCCTTCTCTTTTCATTCTCTCACCCTCTCCAGCTTGGTGTTCCTTATAGCTCTGTTTAAATACCAACTCTACACAAGTGTCTCAAAAGCGTTACTGTTACCCCTATCTGAAGTAAATAGCTTTGTAACTCAGGATATTTCAGTACATCAAACACCTTTCATCATTCAGTTCCATAAGAAGTTGCAAAGGTATGATATCATAGGAAGAAGTAGTTTTGAAAGCCAAAATCAGTCTGCTTAAATTTTCTTATTTTCTTAACTTCGGGTGATTCTACTGTTAGTATATAGATGAGAAACTGCGATTCCAAGACATTAAGTGACTCATGTAAAATATCTAGATCAAGTAAGCAGTAGAGCTAAGATTAACCCCAAACTTACTACTCCTAGCTTTGGCCTGGCACAATGGCTCATACCTCTAATCCCAGTGCTTTGGGAGGCCAACACAGGAGGATCACTTGAGCCCAGGAGTTTGAGGCTGCAGTGAACTATGATGAATACCACTGCACTCTAGCCTGGGCAACAGAGCAAGTTCCTGTATCTTAAAAAAACAAGAATCCTACCTTTGCCTCATACAAGAAATATCTTTGGAGATTTGAGGTTCCCAAAGTTGACCTGCAAAATAGATTTAGCCCTTTAAGTTCTGTTTCTTTTCTGCCAGGTGGTCACATCTCAGCTAAATGTGTCTTCTGTCAGTGAACACGATGCACGTAGAGCAGGTCTTCAGCCCATCAGCAAGTGGCAAGCCTATGGACTCAAAGGCTATCCTGGTGAGTTTAACTGACCTCAGAGAAGGCAAAATCACTCAGTCATTGTGTCTTCAAAGAAGGAACTGTGAGCAACTGAATAGACAAAGGATACACATAATAAAAAGATGTTTCATTTCCAAACTCATTCTAGACTGTATGTTGTCTAAGATGTCCATTTTGAAAGGATAGAACAGGAGTCAGCAGTGCCTACAAATGTGGCTGAAAGTGGCATGAAAAATTAAAAAATAAAGCCGGGTGCAGTGGCTCACGCCTGTAATCCCAGCACTTTGGGAGGCGAAGGCAGGTGAATCACGAGGTCAAGAGATCAAGACCATCCTGGTCAACATAGTGAAACCCCGTCTCTACTAAAAATAGAAAAAATTAGCTGGGCATGGTGGCGCGTTCCTGTAATCCCAGCTACTCAGGAGACTGAGGCAGGAGAATCGCCTGAACCCAGGAGGCGGAGGTTGCGGTGAGCCGAGATTGCGCCATTGCACTCCAGCCTGGGTAACAAGAGAGAAACTGCGTCTCAAAAAAAAGAAAAAAAAAAAGAAAAATTACAAAATAAGAACATTGACTCTGGACTCCCTGCCACAACTCTGAACATCTGATTTGACAGAAGTGTTATGAAGAATAATTTATTATTGTAATAAATGTCAAATAATAGTTATGAATAATTCATAATTGCCGCTGTAGTCACATTCTCAAATGGCATAAAAACTGAAAACTTGTTGCTGGCTGGGCGCAGTGGCTCACACCTATAATCCCAGCACTTTGGGAGGCCAAGGTGGGTGGATTATGAGGTCAAGAGATCGAGACCATCCTGGTCTACATGGTGAAACCCCGTCTCTACTGAAAATACAAAAAAAGTTAGCTGGGCGTGGTGGTGCGCGCCTGTAGTCCCAGCTGCTTGGGAGGCTGAGGCCGGAGAATTGCTTGAACCCAGGAGGCGAAGGTTACAGTGAGCCGAGATTGCACCATTGCACTCCAGCCTGAGTGACAAGAGCGAAACTCTGTCTCAAAAAAAAAGACAAAAGAAAATAAAAGAAAACTTGTTGCTATCAAGGCTGAACATTGCTCACACCACCTTGCCAACACTTAGAAGGCCAAGTTGGGAGGATCACTTGAGCCCAGGAATTTGTGAGCAGCCTGGGCAGCATAGTAGGTCCCTGTCTCTACCAAAAAAAGAAAAAAAATTTCCCAGACAGAGCCTCACTCTGTCACCCAGACTGGAGTATAGTGACATAATCTCAGCTCACTACAACCTCCACCTCTCAGGCTCCAGAGATTTTTCTGCCTTGGCCTCCCAAGTAGCTGAGATTACAGGTTTATGCCACCACGCCCAACTAATTTTTGTATTTTTAGTAGAGACAGGGTTTCACCATGTTGGCCAGGCTGGTCTCAAACTCCTGACCTCAGGTGATCCACTCACCTTGGCCTCCCAAAGTGCTGATATTACAGACATGAGCTACCTTGCCTGGCCAAAAAAAAAATGTTTTTAATTAGCCAAGTGTGGTGGCATGCATCTGTAATCTCAGCTACTCAGAAGACCGAGGTAGGAGGATTGCTGGAGGTACAGTGAGCCTAGATCATGCCACTGCACTCCAGCCCAGGTGACAGAGTGAGACCATGTCTCAAACAAACAATTCTAATAGACTTGTCTGCAACTTTTAATTTAGTAACATTGGGTAGCTCATTTTACAGAGAAAGAAATTAAGAAAATAATGAAGAATGGTTAATGTTACTGACCATTTTTCTAGGCTCCTGGGGCCATTGTAAAAGTTTAACATTGCCCTGTGATATCAAATATGGGTTAAAAGTAAGGGAAATCTTTAAAAAGAAATGTTTTTGGCCGGCCGCGGTGGCTCATGCCTATAATCCCAGCACTTTGGGAGGCCGAGGCAGGTGGATCACGAGGTCAAGAGATCGAGACCATCTTGGTCAACAAGGTGAAACCCCGTCCCTACTAAAAATACAAAAATTAGCCGGGCGTGGTGGTGCACGCCTGTAGTCCCAGCTACTCGGGAGGCTGAGGCAGGAGAATTGCTCGAACCCAGGAGGCGGAGGTTTCAGTGAGCCGAGATCGTGCCATTGCACTCCAGTCTGGGTAACAACAGTGAAACTCCGTCTCAAAAAAAAAAAAAAAAAGAAATGTTTTCATTGTGCCAGTGGCCGGGAGTCTTTCGTACAGCTCTTAGTACATTATGACCACTGAAATACTTGTGAATAGCATGGGAAGATATAATAGCATGACTCCTCTTGAGTTTGGGTAAATGTAGAGCATGTATCACCAACAGTCTTGTTCTTGGAAGCCGTTCTTCACCTTTCAGCTCTAGCATCTGTTTTTTGTTTTGTTTTGTTTTGTTTTTAGACAAAGTCTTGTTCTGTCACCCAGGCTGGAGTGCAGTGGTGTAATCTTGACTCACTGCAACCTCTGCCTCCCAGTCATTCTCCTGTCTCAGCCTCCCAAGTAGCGGGACTACAGGCACCTGCCACCATGCCCAGCTAACTTTTTTGTGTTTTTAATAGAGATGGGGTTTCACCATGTTGGTCAGGCTGATCTCGAACTCCTGACGTCAGGTGATCCACCCACTTCAGCGTCCCAGAGTGTTAGAATTACGGCATGGGTCACTGCACCCAGCCTCTAGCACCTATTTTTAAGGCCATGATTCTCTGTTGCTCTAGGCTCTCTCCCCTTAACAGATTGTTCATGCCACAAACTTAACCCCACTTGGGTTTTATATTGTCCAAACTGCTGTACTTGATTTCTGAGGTTTTCTAGGATTTACTGCTTAATTAAACCACATCTTTTGAGTGGGTGCTTCACTATATCCTTGGAAAGTTTATTCTGTTTCTCTTCTCATTGTAAGCTGTGTTTATTTTATTTATTTAGTTTTTACTTACTTTCCCCCATAAGCTGTATTTAATAGAAATATAATGGCCAAAATATGGGAAAGAACAGTCTTTTCTTACTCTGAGTTGATCAAAAAGATTGTGGGTTTACTTCTGGATCTTTTAATCTGAAGAAAGCTGAGTATACTACAACCTGTCTGTACACTCTTGTGTGAGGACGTATTATCTATCCTCTTGAATAAGAGGATAATAGGTCTGGAAACCAGAAACAGAATCTAGGGAAGAAAAGCCTTATGGGGGAACATGACCGCATTAAACATGGAAAAATTGTCTTGCACGAGAAGTGGTGGGAAGCAGTGCAGACCAGTGGTTAAGGCATAGGTTCTGGTGTCAGGCTACCTGGGTTTATATCCTGGCCCTGCCATCTACTAACTGCAAGACTTTGGGCAAGTTTCTTAATTCTCTTGCCCTCAGTTTTGTCATATGTAAAATATATATAAGAATAGTATGCCGGGTGCGGTGGCTCAAGCCTGTAATCCCAGCACTTTGGGAGGCTGAGGTGGGTGGATCACAAGGTAAAGAGATCGAGACCATCCTGGTCAACAAGGTGAAACCCCATCTCTACTAAAAATACAAAAAATTAGCTGGGCATGGTGGTGCGTGCCTGTAATCCCAGCTACTCAGGAGGCTGAGGCAGGAGAATTGCCTGAACCCAGGAGGTGGAGGTTGCAGTGAGCCGAGATCGTGCCATTGCACTCCAGCCTGGGTAACAAGAGCGAAACTCCGTCTCAAAAAAAAAAAAAAAAAAAAAGAATAGTACCCACTTTACAAGGTACTTGCTAGGCATGGTGGCTCATGCCTGTAAATCCCAGCACTTTGGGAGGCTGAGACAGTGGATCACCTGAGATCAAGGGTTCAAGACCAGCCTGGCCAGTGTGGTGAAACCCCATCCCTACTAGAAACAAAAATTAGCCGGGCATGGTGGTGGGCATCTTTAATCCCCGCCACTCAGGAGGCTAAGACAGGAGAATTGCTTGAAACTGGGAGGTGGAGGTTGTAGTGAGCTGAGATTGCACCACTGCACTCCAGCCTGGGCAACAAAGAGTGAAACTCCATCCCAAAAAAAAAAAAAAGTCCCCACTTCACAAGGTTCTTATGAGGATTACATGTTAGTATATTTGTTAACTGCTTAGGTCCGTGCATTTATCAAGCACATAAAAATGATTTGGGGTTGCTCCAGGTGTCAGAATCCAGGACCGATGACTGAAAATTATAGAGAGGCAGATTTTATTTTATTTTATTTTATTTTATTTTATTTATTTATTTTTTGAGACAGAGTTTCGCTGTTGTTGCCCAGGCTGGAGTGCACTGGCTTGATCTCGGCTCATTGCAACCTCCACCTCCTGGGTTCAAGTGATTCTCCTGCCTCAGCCTCCCAAGTAGCTGAGATTACATGCATGTGCCACCACACCTGGCTAATTTTGTATTTTTAGTAAAGATGGGGTTTCTCCATGTTGATCAGGCTGGTCTTGAACTCCCGATCTCAGGTGATCACCCACCTCGGCCTCTCGAAGTTCTGGGATTACAGGCGTGAGGCACCATGCCTGGCCAGATTTTTTCTTTTTATAATATATTTAATATATAAAAAATATATATATTTAATAAATATATATATATAATATATAAATATATAAATATAAATATATATAAATATGTATTTATTTATATATTTTCATATATATATATATATGTATGTATGTACATATGTTGTGTTTTTGTTTTTGTTTTTGTTTTTTGAGACGGCGTTTTGCTCTTGTTACCCAAGCTGGAGTGCAATGGCTCGATCTCGGCTCACCGCAACCTCCACCTCCTGGGCTCAGGCAATTCTCCTGGCTCAGCCTCCTAAGTAGCTGGGATTACAGGCACGCGCCACCACGCCCAGCTAGTTTTCTGTATTTTTAGTAGAGACAGGGTTTCGCCATGTTGACCAGGATGGTCTCGATCTCTCGACCTCGTGATCCACCCGCCTCAGCCTCCCAAAGTGCTGGGATTACAGGCTTGAGCCACTGCGCCCGGCTTGTTTTTTTTTTTTTTAAGACGGGATTTCACCATGTTGGTCAGGCTGGTCTTGAACTCCCAAACCCAGGTGATCCGCCCGCCTTAGCCTCCAAAGTGCTTGGATTACTGGCGTGAGCCACCATGCCCAGCCAATTTTTTTTTTTAACCTGGAAAACATGTAGGTACAAAGTATGCAGATTTGGGGGGTTTTTTGTTTGTTTTCTTGAGACGGGGTCTCATTCTGTCACCCAGTGGGGTGCAGTAGCACAATCATGATTCACTGCAGCCTTTACCTCCCAAGTTCAAACGTTCCTCCCACCTCAGCCTCCCTAGTAGCGGACCATTGGGTTTCACCACTACGCCCAGCATATTTTTTTTTTTTTTTTTTTTTTTTTGGTTGAGGCGGGAGTCTTACTATGTTGTCCAGGCTAGTCTGGAACCCCTGGGCTCAAGTGATCCTCCTACCTCGGCCTTCCAAAGTGCTGGATTACAGACCTGAACCACTGTACCTGGCTGGGAGGCAGCTTTTAACCCAATAAGAAGAAGACAACAGTTATCTGAAATGGACTGCCTAAAGAGAAGTTAAATTTCCTGTCACCATTCAAGCTTGGACTAAACCGGAAGCATTATTCCATTAGTCGGATATGTTTGGATTATTATAATATTATTTATTTCATGAACTTGTGATGATAGCAGATGGTGGGTTGTGGGGTGAGGGAGGGGGGGTTCCTATCTTTTTCCAGAATATTGATGATCCTATCACTCTCCTAAATTATTTGAAGAATTTTACTGATAAATGAAACATAAAATCCAAGTGTATCTTGGAGCTACTTTTAAAAACATGAAAAATCAGATTAGCGCTTAAAGATAAAAATTGTCTGTATGAGGTTTCCTTGATGCCAAAAGGTCAATGACTTTGTTCATTAGGTTTAGTTTGGAGTATCTGCTATTGACAGTACTAAGTGGTAGAACAGGATTAATCAGCTGCAATGAGGAACCTGTCCACATTGAATATCTCTGAGCTGTCTATATATTTTTTTTCTGTATCTGCAAGAATCTAGACATAGAATTTTAAGTGCTTTTAGTAAGATTTAGTAAATAGAGGAATCTTCAGGTTCTTTCTTTTTTTTTTTTTTTGAGACAGAGTTTCGCTCTTGTTACCCAGGCTGGAGTGCAATGGCGCGATCTCGGCTCACCGCAACCTCCGCCTCCTGGGTTCAGGCAATTCTCCTGCCTCAGCCTCCTGAGTAGCTGGGATTACAGGCATGCGCCACCACGCCCAGCTAATTTTTTGTATTTTTAGTAGAGACGGGGTTTCACCATGTTGACCAGGATGGTCTCAATCTCTTGACCTCGTGATCCACCCGCCTCGGCCTCCCAAAGTGCTGGGATTACAGGCGTGAGCCACCGCGCCCGGCCAATTTTCTATGTATTTCTACGTCAGCATAACCTCCTTTTCAGCTGAATCGCATGTGGTTTTAAATCTCTTTCAAATTCTGATAGTGGACCATTGATGATGTTCAGAGATTCATTTGGTTAGAGCCTAGTATTTAAATGCAAAGAGCATAGATTTGTTGCCTGTGTGGGCTTACTGGTTTTTCTTGTTCCTTGGCCACAGATCCAACTTTGTCTGTCATATCCCAGACTGTCTAATCCCAAATGTGTGCAGGCCTTGTGATGGGCCAGGAGAGAGGGATGAATCAGTGAAGTCATGTTACCCCTCTGAGCTTCTGTTCTCTTATCTGCAAAACTGGATTAATAACTTCCTCATGGAGTTACTGAAGATTAATGAGATAGCATAAGGTTGCTAGCACAGTGGCTGACATTTGTAGGCATCTAGGTATTTTTAGCATCTACTGTAATTAATGACAGGAACAAACCTATGTATTGTTAATAGCTGTTATTAAACTTTATCATTATTCTATGTCTAAATTATATGCCAAAGAGAAGAGAGGAAAAGTCGGTAATAACAAAGTTGTTTCTGTATGAGGCTCTCAGCCCAGTGTCTTTACTGTCTGCTTACCGTAGTAATTCTCTCTAAGGATATTTCCATAAAATGTATTGTTACTGCTAATAGTCTAGACCAATAGTTGGCAAACTATAGTTTTATTGTAAACACAGTTTATTGAAATACAACCATACCTTTTTGTTTACTTACTATGTATGGCTACTTTCTGGCTACAGTGACAGAATTAAGTGCTAAAAAGACCAACTAAGGCTGGGCGCGGTGGCTCACGCCTGTAATCCTAGCACTTTGGGAGGCCGATATAGGTGGATCACTTGAGGCCAGGAGTTCAAGACCAGCTTGGCCAACATGGTGAAACCACATCTCTATTTAAAAAAAACAAAAAAAAAAAACAAAAAAAAAACAAATAAGACCAAGCACAGTGGCTCACGCCTATAATCCCAGCACTTTGGGAGGCCCGAGGCAGGCAGAACACTTGAGGCCTGGAGTTCAAGACCAGTGTGTTCAACGTGGCTAAACCCTGACTCTGCTAAAAAATAATAATAATAATAGCCAGGTAATCCCAGCTACTCAGGAGGCTGAGGCAGGAGAATCACTTGAACCCGGGAGGTGGAGGTTGCAGTGAGCCAGAAATTGCACCTACATAACAAAGCGAGACTCCGTCCCAAAAAAATAAAAAATAAATAAAGAGACCAAATAACCCTCAAAGCTTAAAGTCTTTACTCTCTAGTCCTTGACAGAAAATGTTTGCTAACCTCTGGTCTAGACTAGATCTGGAGTTCAACCAGGAACTGAAGACCTTTAAGTTATTGTCAACATTTAACTCAGAAATCTTTAAGCTTTAGTCTGTTCATCTGTTTTTAAAATCCCTTTGCAAGGGGGAACATTACACTAATTATGTGATGCATGTCTTTTATATCATTGCTTAGATTCCTTCTTGTTCCTCAAGACCTGCCCCAACCATGCTCAGTCTTGCTGAGATGACCTTGCTGTTTATCTGGGAAAACTGAATCCTTTGGGCACAAACCCTTTCAGCTTCCAGTGGCCCCACACTTTTAAACAAATGTTTTCATTTCCACATCCAGTCATAGAGGAAGAGGAATTCCTTCAGTTCAGAGCCAGTCTCTCTACCCTTTGAGCTCACCTTCTTTACCTCTTCCAGCTTTGAAGACCTTGCTCGGTTTCTTCTGATTCCAACTGGCTCTTCTCTGTTGGCTCTTTCTTCACAATCTGTAAGCATACTTAGGTCTTGCCAGTCCTTAAAAAACATGACTATGCCTAAGCTTTTATTTTCTTTCATAGCTGGTCTTGAAAAAGGAGTTTAACTTGTCTTTATTGCCCCTTCTTTCTAGACAAGGTTTTTTATCCTTTAATCTCTAATTTTTTTTTTTTTTTTTTTTTTTTTTTTTTTTTTTTGAGACAGTCTGTTTTTGTTACCCAGGCTGGAGTGCAGTGGTGTAGTCTCAGCTGACTGCAACCTCTGCCTCCTGGCTTCAAGTGATTCTCCTGCCTCAGTTTCCCAGGTAGCTGGGATTACAGGTCCCTGCCACCATGCCTGGCTAATTTTTGTATTTTAGTAGAGACAGGGTTTCACCATGTCGGCCAGGCTGGTCTCAAACTCCTGGCCTGACCTCAGGTAATCTGCCCATCTCAGCCTCCCAAAGCACTGGGATTACAGGCATGAACCACTGCACCTGGCCTATTACTAATCTTTTACAGAGGAGGAAAATGAGGTTAGGTCGCTGTCAAGGTCACAGAGACCTTTAACACACTTAGAGTTGTGTGTTAGCTATAGTTGTTTACAAACACAGAGATATTACAGAGACAGTAATTGCAGGAAGCAACTGTCACCCCTACAACTGGGAGGAACAACAAAAGAGCTTGGGATTACTATATTGAGAAGCTTGGAAGAGGGACTACATGGAACTGGGGCTTAGACTTCTGAGGAGAGGACGTAATGAGACTAATTCTGGTGAAGTGGAAAAACTGTATTAGAACCAACTTCCGCCCTCCAGTCTTCCATTAGTGACCCTTATAGGTACAGGTTAGCAGAGAGCCAGCTGGCAAATAAGAAAGGGAGTTGGCAGGGTCTCAGCCCCATGTTTATGAAGTTAAATATAGAAGAGTGGATTTGAAACTGAGAGAAAATAGACCAATAATCAGCACGCCATTCATTAGATGATGACTTTCAAATCTGTTTTAGTTAAAATTTATTATAAGATTTCATATAATCATGCCTGTAATAAGTGAAATAGGCAAGTAAAGAAGTCTTGGATGTCTCTAAATGGCAAGACCTGATAAGAATTAGAGGTGTACTTTTAGCACTGCCATTTCTGAAGTTTGCTTTGGAATAACACAGTTAACCTTGTGGAATATTTGTTTCTGTTGAGACTACCCAGAAAGCCGGACACATTTGCATAGTGGTAGATGTCTAATGTTCATCAAAACCTAGCTGTTCATTAACTTGAAGCATGACCAAAAAAAAAATGGGAACTAAATTTTAAAAATAACAAAATAGTGGATATAACGATGTCAACAAACAAAAATCATTTGAATAACTGACGGATAATTTCCCCCTCTTCTTTTTTTCCCACCCATCTTTTGTATAGGGTTTATTTTTATCCCAAACCCCTTCCTCCCAGGTTACCAGTGGCACTGGGTGAAACAGTGTCTTAAGTTATATTCCCAGAAACCTAATGTATGTAACCTGGACAAACACATGGCCAAAGAAGAGACCCAAGATCTGTGGGAACAAAGCAAAGAGTTCCTGAGGTAAGTCTTGTCGATCAGAATAAAGTGTTAATACTCAGCTCAGATCCTCACAGTATTTGAAGGAACTGTTCTGTAACAATGCAGTTTAAGTGACTGGCCAGATTTTTTTTCCCCCTCATTGTTTCTAAGCAAAAACAGCACAATTGTTTTCTTTCCCCAGGAATATCTGGACAGATGCTTTGACAGTTAAATTAAATTGAGATCCATTTTGAAGACTTGCTTATCATAGCTTAGATATTGAGTTCATCCTCGTTAATCATCACCTGATCCGTTTCCATTCAGCCTCAGCCATTTTTTTCTACTCAAAGTGAGTTCGTTTGAAGGCTTGTAGTGTCCTGGGAAAGGTAGCATTGAAAGCTCTTTGCTTCTACTCTCCTAGATGGATTTAATGGTACTAGCTGTTTTATGATAGTTGTTTCTCATGAGAAGAACTAGTATTTTCACCTCATGCTTCAGCATTCATTCATTCATTCCACCAGTACTTAATGAGTATCAGTAGTGTGTCAGGCATGATGCTAGGCTTCGGACACACAAAGATAAAGGCACCTTCCCTGCCCTCAACGAGTGTCAAGAATGCATTATCTGTGGAAATAATTATTGTAGAGCTCAGAAAGTGTTACGACAGGGTTTAGAAAAATACTGTGGGAGCGTAGAGGAGGAAATAATTATTCCAGGCAGGGTACAAGTATCAAAGAGAAAAAAATGACTTTTTTTTTTTTTTGAGGTAGAGTCTCACTCTGTCCCCCAGGCTGGAGTGCAGTGGCATGATCTCAGCTCACTGCAACCTCCATCTCCTGGATTACAGCAGTTCTCCTGCCTCAGTCTCCCAAGTTGCTGGGATTACAGGCATCTGCCACCAAGTCCTGCTAATTTTCATATTTTTAATAGAAACAGGGTTTCACCATGTCCACCAGGCTGTTTTTGAACTCCTGACCTCAAGTGATTCTCCCACCTTGGCCCCTCAAAGTGCTGGGACTACAGACTACTAATCCAGAAGGTGGAGGTTGCACTGAGCCGAAATCATGCCATTGCACTCCAGCCTGGGCAACAGAGTGAGACTCTGTCTTAAAAGCCACCAAGCCTGGCCTGAAAAAAATCATTTTTTAATTGGGTTATCCTCTTTTCACTGTCCCTTTGAACTGATCCTCAAAAATGAGTAGGAGTTAGCCAGTCAGAAAAGTAAGAAGGTGCTACTGAGTAGAGAAAGCAGCCTGAGCAAAGATGAGACAGAATAAATTGTCCTGTAAGACAGGAGCACAGGATGTATACTTTCTTATGTTTATTCAATAGATACCTATTGAGTTTCTGCTGTTGTCAGACACTGTGCTTGAATGTTAGAGATTCAAAGGCAGATAAGAAACAATTTCTGTCTTCAAGAGATTTGTACTTTAGCTGAGGACAAAAACAAACAGATAATTAGACATAATTTGGAACTGGGCTTGGTGGGTCATGCCTGTAATCTCAACACTTTGGGAGGCCAAGGTGGGAAGATCACTTGAGGCCTGGAGTTACCAGTCTTGGCAACATAGCAAGACCCCATCTCTACAAACAAAAATTTTTTTAATTAGCTGGACATGGTGGTATGCACCTGTGGTCCTAACTACTCGGCAGGCTGAGTAGAGACTGTCTCAAAAAAATTTTAAATAGACCGGGCACAATGGCTCATGCCTATAATCCTAGCACTTTGGGAGGCCGAAGTGGGCAGATCACAAGGTCAGGAGTTTGAGGCCAGGCTGACCAACATGGTGAAACCCCGTCTCTACTAAAAATACAAAAATTAGCCAGGCATGATGGTGCATGCCTATAATCCCAGCTACTCAGGAGGCTGAGGCAAGAGAATTGCTTGAACCCGGAAGGTGGAGGCTGCAGTGAGCCAAAATCATGCCACTGCACTCCAGCCTGGGTGACAGAGCGAGACTCCATCTCAAAAATAAATAAATAATAACATTAAAATAAATAACTACGATTTGGTAGATGTAAGGATAGACATTATAAGATATAATGTGAATGATCATTTAAGTAGCTAGATTGGAGGTAGATTGTAGAAAATGATTCCTGGAAGCGATGGGTAGGCAGAATTGGTAAAACATGAAGCAGGAGAGGTGGATTCGGGCCAGATGGTAAAGGGTTTAGTGATGTAGAGCAGGGATCCCCAAACACCGGGCCACGTACCTAGGCAGGCGACCATTACCACCTGAGTTTCGCCTCCTGTCAGATCAGCAGCATTAGATTCTCATAGGAGCGCAAACCCTGTTGTGAACTGTACATGCAAGGGATCTAGGTTGTTCACTCCTTATGAGAATCTAATGCCTGATGATCTGAGGTGGAACAGTTTCATCCCCAAACCGCCCCCCATTTCTATCCCTACTCCATCCACGGACAAATTGTCTTCCATGAAACTGGTCCCTGGTGCCAAAAAGGTTGAAGACCACTAATGTAGAGCACCAGTTCTGGAGTCAGACTGCCTGTGTTCAAATCACAGCTCTACCACATAATAGCTGCGTAACCTTGAGCAAGCTTCTTCACATTTCTGTGTCTCATAACAGTCTTTTCTTTATTGAATAGTATGAAGATTAAACAAGATAATTTGTGAGAAGTCCTTAAAAGTGCCAGTTAACACCATTTTACCAACTTTGTGTCCTGTTTGGTGTTAAGTGGCCTTAATGGTGTAGTTTTCAAAAACTGTCATGCTGATTCTAACAGAGGAAATAGAAGATTTTCTCACGAGGAAAGGAGAAGTAAAATTCAGTGGTTTTTCTTTAAACCCTGGTCTGTAGGTTAGGGTATAGACAGGAGCAGTGAGGAAAACCCTGTCCATAAGCTTTTAGTAATGTCTTCTTCAGAACTGAGAGCCAGGGAAAGGAAGACCGTGGTTGAGTGAAATTAGTCCAAGAGAACCTACTGCTATTAAACCAGCCTGTATTTTCAAGTAATTGATTTTTTTCCTTCTGATATATGACTCTGCAGAAATCCCAGCTGTCTTCTAAGATAGCTCAGATGAATCTCTGTAATAAATCATCCTGTAAACAATGGTGAGATACCTTTTTTTTGTTTGCTTAATAAATTAGCAAAAATAAAAAATGTGATGGTCATACCTTATGTTGTCAAAGGTTTGAAGAAATTGATATGCTCAGATATTGTGCTAGCAGCATTGAAAATCGATTAAGGGCAAGTTTTCATTCTGTCACTATGTGATGCGTGCTTCAGTTTTCTCTTGTGGGAAATGAAGGTATTGGACTGGATAAGCCATTCAAGGTAATTGAATCATGATCAGTCAGGGTCATGTGGATAGTACATGACAGCTCTCCCAACTTTCCCAGAGTCTCTCAGAAAGGGAGTCTGTTGTTCAAAAAAGTTCCCCTGGAGATTCTGATTAGGTGTCATAACATCTCTGACATTGAGAAACACTGAACTAGAGGACCTCTAAGATCCTTTTGATTTTAATTTTCTAGAATTCTATGGTTAGGGAAGAAAAAACTTTTTTTTTTTTTTTTTTTTTTTTTTTGAGACAGAGTTTCACTCTTGTTACCCAGGCTGGAGTGCAATGGCGCAATCTCGGCTCACCGCAACCTCCGCCTCCTGGGTTCAGGCAATTCTCCTGTCTCAGCCTCCTGAGTAGCTGGGATTACAGGTACGAGCCACCATGCCCAGCTATTTTTTTGTATTTTTAGTAGAGACGGGGTTTCACCCTGTTGACCAGGATGGTCTCGATCTCTCGACCTTGTGATCCACCCGCCTCGGCCTCCCAAAGTGCTGGGATTACAGGCTTGAGCCACCGCGCCCAGCCGGAAAAAACTTTTAAGTAGGAAATGAAGGAGACATACTTGAACTTAAGCAAAAATAGTACTGTTGACAAAATTAGGGTACGTTAATTCTATGTTTTCTTCCAAGTGAATAGTGTAGCTAGAGATTCTTGTACAAGTGTACAAAGACTTATGTGCAAACATCTTCATTGTGACATTGTTTATAACAGAAAAAAAAAAAAGCAAAACAGTCTTTTTCATCAGGAGGAGACCAGATAAATCTAACATGACATATCCCAGACGTAGAATGCAGCCACTGTGCGAGCATTAAAAAACTTTTAAGGTAGGGTGCAGTGGTTCACGCCTGTAATTCCAGCACTTTGGGAGGCCAACGTGGGCAGATATGAGATCAGGAGTTCCAGACCAGCCTGACAAACGTGGTGAAACCCTGTCTCTACTAAAGTACGAAAATTAGCCAGGCGTGGTGGCACGTGCCTGTAATCCTAGCTACTCAGGAGGCTGAGGCAGGAGAATCACTTGAACCCAGGAGGCAGAGGTTGCAGTGAGCTGAGATCATGCCAATGCACTCCAGCCTGGGCAACAGGGTGAGACTAAATCTCAAAAAAAAAAAAAACTTTAAATGCAGTCCTCTAGCATATATCCTAGGCTTCAAAGCCAGAATAAATTCAGCCATTTCTCATCATCTCCATCACAACTGCATTGGTCTAAGCTGCCATCATTTCTTACTTAGAGCACTGCAGTAGCCTCCTAACCAGTTTCCCTTCTTAGCACAAACTCAGGTGTGGTTCCATGGGCCCACCTTGATTTAACAGTGACACTTCCGTTACTCAGGAAATTTCAAGGGTTTAGAAGCTCCCTGGCAGGAGCCAGGGACAAAGACCAGTCAAATTCTTTGTTATATAAGATCATCACATTTAGAAAAAAAATCCAGAATCCTTACCATGGCCTGTAAGGCCGAGATGATCTGGCCCCCAGCTACCTCTCTACTCTTATTTCCTACCAATCCTACCTCATTTCCTTTTCATTTGTTATTTGTTTTTTTTTCTTTTTTCTTTTTTTTTTTTTTTTTTTTTTGAGACGGAGTTTCGATCTTGTTACCCAGGCTGGAGTGCAATGGCGCGATCTCGGCTCACCGCAACCTCCGCCTCCTGGGCTCAGGCAATTCTCCTGCCTCAGCCTCCTGAGTAGCTGGGATTACAGGCACGTGCCACCATGCCCAGCTAATTTTTTTTTGTA